GCCACCCCCAAAGCAAAGCCCCTCCAGCGGGTGGGGCCAGGAAGCCAGCGGGGGTCCCTGCACAGGACAGCCCAGCCGGCCCCAGGCCCTCACCGTAACTCTCCCCTGGGGACACAGGGCCCTGTGAGTGGCAGCCAGACTCTCAGCGACTGGGCAGGCTGTGGGGCAGGAGGGCACAGAGCGGGCTCTCTCCTCTCCGGACTGTGCAGACCTTCTTAAAACTCCTGGGCAGGCTGCATTTGTCTGTAATTCCCCAAGACCTGATTAGATGCTCCCCGCCCACGAGAAGCAGTGGGTGCTGAGCACCTGGGGCCCACGTGCGTCCTGGGGACGCCTTCTGGGTCCTCTAGGGCAGGGGTTGAACACAGCCAGGACTGGGCCCTCTGCCCCATCCCTGTCCGGCACCTCTGTCCCCAAGCCCTGCAGAGGAGAGCAGGCGAGAGGTACAGGCCGTGCAGGACAGAAGCAGAGGGAGCACACGAGGCCTGCAGGGGACAGAAGCAGGGGCTGCGCTCCAGCCGCTTGGAGGTGGGACAGGTCCTACCTGTGCTCGTGTTCTTCTCACACCCCACTTCCCGCCACCCCTCATGCCTGCAGGCACCCAAGTGGCTTCCTGGAACAGTCAAAGGGCTTGGGGGTTTATGGTGATACCCACACGGTGCCACCTCTGCCAGCCTCCAACACACAGAACTGCTGGGGGACACAATCAGAGTCCTGAGGCCGGGCGGTGCAGCAGACCCCAGAGCCAGGGCCAGGAGGGGCAGATGGCTCCACAGGGACTGGGCCACAAAGAGCGAGAAGGTGCATCAACCCTGTCCCCCGCCCTGCCGCCTCGGGACCCCTGCTACCACAGCCCACGCAGGCGGCCCAAAGCCGCACAACCCTGCACATGTGAGGCGCCGCCCACAGCCCCTTCCTCAGCCCAGACAGCTTTGTTTCAGGGCCTCCAGCTGCCCCGTCTCACCAACAACCCTCCCCGAGAGCCTGCCCTGGGCCGCCCGGGCCCTCGTCCCCGTGGCCACGCACACTCCCTTCGTCCTCCAGAGGGCTTCCACATGAGGGACACAGGCACGGGCAGTCCCTGCACCCGCCGCCACACCCGCAGCCGCGTGCAGGGGCACCCGGGCCAGGGAGGCCACAGGCAGACTTGGTGCTCAGCGAAGAGACCGAGCCCCGCGAGGGAGCGGCCGGCGGGCAGCGCTCGCTCCGGGCCACAGCTGCGGCACCGCGTCCCCTACTCACCGTCCTCGCGGGACTTCTGGATGAAGGCCTCCACCCCGCTCTCGCCGTAGCTGCCCTCTGAGGCCAGCGTGGACACGTAGTTCCACTTGAGGGCGCGGACGATGTCCACCATGGCCTGTGCCTGGTACGTGTCCGAGGGCACCACGCGGGAGAAGAAGTCGTAGCGGCTGTTGTCGCTGAGGTCGGGGGCCGTGGAGGCATAGCTGATCTGGGGGATCTAGGGGCGAGAGGGACGGCTGAGGGAGCAGCTGGCACCCACCCGGCCAGCCCCAAACCCTGCACACCAACCTCGCCCGTCTGAGCCGGCATGGGCCCCCACAGCCCTCCCCACCCCCGCATGGCCTCCCCTCACACGCCCCTGCAGTGGTGGGGGACCCTGTGACGGGGCACAGACAGGCCCCGAGGCCAAGCGGGTCTGTCAGCCAAGCCGATGGCCCCAGCCAGGGCTCCCGTATCACCCACTGCCCGGATCCCGTCCACCCCGCAGCATGAGGGTGGCCCTGGACTGGTGGTCCCCAAAGACACCTCCCTCCCTCTCTCTCTGTCTCTCTCTCTGTCTCTCTCTCCCTCCCTCAGCATCTGGGCGCCTCCACTTCCACAAAGAGCTGGACAACCACAGACCAGGCAGGTGAAGTGGCTCAGCCCGCACTTAGGGCTGCAGGTGCAGTGTCACAGGGGGGTCATGTGTCCATCCTCTGTCCCCAGGAAGCCTCTTTGTCGCTGCAAAGCCGTCCTGTCCCCACAGCCCCTCTGAGCTCAGGGTCCATCGTCCTGCGCAGCTCGGAGGAGACCAAGCGGAGGCTGTCCCCCTCCCAACACAGGCGGGAAGCCCAGGCGGCCAGGCGGGGAGCATCACGAAGTCCTTCCTCCCCACAGCCTGGACGCAGGCCTGGCGGGCAGAGGCAGAGGCAGGACAGACACAGGCTCCTATCCCCAGCGCCAGCCCTGCCGGCCACAGGACACCCTCCCCCATCTCCCCCTGCGCCCTTCGAGGCAGGGGTGAGACTCAGGCCCCTGTAGCTGCAGCCGCCACCCGCATCTCACAGGACCCGCACAGCCGCAGCTCCCCGCCCCAGGCCCTGTCTCCCCTCCCCTTGGCCCACAGTGACACTCACACTCCCGGTGCCCAAATCTTCCCCCTAGAAACTTGGGGACTAGTGCAGCGGAGGGACGTGGCTGTGGGGCCCGTGGGGCGCTGGCCGGTGGACATGGAGGAAGCGGCCCCCAGCTCTGTTCAGGCCCCGGAGCTGAGCAGCTTAGTACGGGCAGGCCGGAGGGAGGCAGCAGACACTCGGAAGGTGGGGCCAAGGGAGAGGCAGAGGAGCCTGGGGGTGACTCAGCGGGTGGGGATCCACCGCCCCTTATAACAAAGGCCCGATGACTGCTGGATCGGGCCTGGAGATGGGTCCAGGGGAGGCTGAGGCGGGACAGAAACAGGTAAGCAGCTCCCTGGAGCAGTCTGAGGTGCCACGACACCCAGTGAGGCAGACTGGTGGCCACAGGAGCAGTGGGTCTGCGGTGGGCAGGGCGGGGGACGGTGGGGTTGGAGGCCACCATGCCTCAGAAGCTGGGGCCACTGCGGATAGCATGGGGACACTGGCCAGGGAGACCGAGGAAGGGAGGGAAGAAGGCCAGGGACAGAGGGCGAGGGACCCTCGCAGCAAGGACCCCGAGAGGTGGGAGGAAAACAGGGGCCCAGGCAGTCCTGGTGGAACTGGCCCCTCCGGACTCACGGAGGGGCACACGGAGGAGGATCAGGAGGGCTGCCGTGCGGACACGCTTTTCCCAAAGCCGGGGGTGGAAGAGGAGATACAGGGTGGAGTGAGGAGGGAGGCCAGGGTGCAGGGGTCGAGGCGGCTGGAAAGGCAGCCACAAGAGTGCAGGACACAGGGGGCTGGGGATTTAGCTCAGCGGCAAAAGCGCCTGCCTGGCATGCGCAAGGCCGTGAGTTCGGTTCCCGGTACCGGAGAAAAACCAAAAAACCAAAAAAAAAAAAAAGAGTGCAGGACACAGCAGAGGGGGGCGGGGGCCCCAGAGGACACCAGGGCTGCACAGCCGGGAGAGCCCCACGGAGCCCGGGGCAGCCTCGCACACCCACAGCCCCAACACCAGTTCCCAGAGAACGGAGGACCCCAAAGACAAGCCGACCCGGGAGGGAGGACCAGACAGTCCCCGGGGCACACAGGGTCTCCTCCAGGGCCGCACACAGGGGACCCGTCCGCTTCAATAGCCACCTTCGCCATGCCCACAGGATGCTGGCCTTTTCCCCTTGGACCCGGGCTCACAGAGGCCACTGCAAAGGAGCCACGTGGTCCCCCCATCTCAGCTGCTCCTGTGGCCACCAGGCCCCCACCCCGTGTACTCAGGGTCCCCCCACGCCCTTCGGGAGCTCAGGCACCAACCAGCAGTGATTCACTGAGCACCTACTATGTGCCCTGAGTTGTCTTAGGTGCAGGGCAAACAGACACAAACCCCAGCTTTGGGGCTGGGGATTTAGCTCAGCGGCAAAAAGCGCCTGTCTGGCAAGCGCAAGGTCGCGAGTTCGGTTCCCGGTACCGGAGAAAAACCAAAAAAAAAAAAAACAAACCCCAGCTTTGGTGGAGTGGGATCTCACGGGCGAGTCAGTAAGAAATGAACACAACCGAAGGTGGGTGCTGCTCAGACACTGGCAAACACCCAGCACCTTGCTCCTCTGCTGCACAGTCTACCAGGACCAGGAGACACATATTCCCAGAGCCACAGCATGGGACTGCAGGGCCCCGCCCATCTGCCACTGGGACAGCCAGGAGAAGGGACGCTCGTCTGTCTAGACCCCAGAGCCAGGCGGGCCAGGGGCGCCCTCTCCCCAGCCTGCTGGGCTGAACTGAGCTGAACTGAATTCACACACATATATGCGGTCAGCAGCCGCAGTACGACAAACGTTTCTTAGATGTTTACCCTGTGCCTGCAGCTGCCCTAAGGGATTTTAGACATCTAAACACCTCTAATCATACAGGCTCCCTGTGAAGCAGGTCTTCTTATCTGCCCCATGTTTCTAAAACTGAGGCACAGAGAGGTTACAAAACTTGCCTAAGATCACACAGCTAGTGAGTGGCTGAGCCAGAATCTGAACCCAGGAGATGCACTGCAGAGCCAGTGTCATTAGCTGACCCGTGAAACCTCAGCCTCCCCTCACTCAGACGGCCCCTCATGCACACGGCGCTCACGAGTGTGGAATCTGGGGGTGGGGTGAGGCTGTGGTCTCCCATCACCAGGGGCCACCCACGTCTCCCATGAGGCAGATCACCGGGGCAGCGGGTTCGTGTGCCAGCCCGGTTTCCTCTCCTGGCTGTCACCCTGTGAGCTGGAGCGGCCCATCTGTCCCCAACACAAAGGTCAGGGCAGCGGCGGGGGCCGGGGCGCCAGAGGGTTGTGTAAATGGCTCCGCTTCGAGGAACAGCTAATTCCTAAACATAATTATTAATTTCGTGCTTATCATAGGCAAACCTCTGTCTCTCCAACGAGATGAAATTGATTTAATTAGAAATCCCATCATCAAGCCTTTTGGATCCGAGCTTTGCATTGGGGTCCCCAGCCCCTCTAGTGGCTGCCGTGGCGCAGGTGGCCCCTGACCTCCCTGGCCTCCAAGGCCACAGCCCGGGTGGGCCTGCAGCTCCTCCCTCCCCACGGCGCCCCCTGGCCAGGTTGTGTCCCTCACCGGGACCCTACGGGGCCCACACCCCACAAGCAGCCTCTCTTGTCTCAGAAGAACAATGGGAAGTTGCCAGAGCAACGCTGCCAGTGTCCTGCAGCCAGGAAAGGGTTCAAGGTGGGCAGTGGAACAGCCGCCCCCCTCCTGCGCAGCCCCCCGGCAGCCTTCCGCAAGGGCCCTTCCAGCTCACACAGGTGGTCTGTGGGAGTCACATGTGTGCCCTCCAACCTGTGCCCGTCTTGGCCTCTCTGACAGCTACCACCACTCGGGCCCCTGCCCTGCCTCCCGAGGCAATGCCAAGCCACCTGACGAGCAGCTTCCTAAAGCACTGCCTTCACCTCCTCACTCCACTTATCCCCCGCCCCCAAAAACATCGGCTCAGGGACTTAGCTGCCTCCATGGCGCCCTCACACGCCTGGGCCCAGGGCAGGCGCTCAGCAACAGGAGGGGACACTCCTGTCCCTTGCATCCCTGCCTAAGCAACAAGCTCCACAGTGCTGCAGGTAACTTAAATGGACGGGGAAACTGAGGCTGTCCGCCATGCCCCGAGAGGAGCTGGTCAGCTGCTGAGTTGACTTGCACACGGCCTGATACTTCGTGGAGGACCCCGCGGCGTGATGGTGGTAAGTGGGCCAGCGGTAGACGGGGCTCCAAAACCTCCCTCCTCCCTCCCCAGGACCTGGCGTCCCTCACTGTCTGGGCCCTGCTGCACTGTCTCCCTGATATGTCCACAGCACCCCTGAAGGAGGCGTTGGGGACCTGTCCCACATCATCCCTGTACACCCACCCAGCCTCTTATCAGGGGACCGAGATACCTGGATTGATTTCCAGGCCTGTTCTGAGTTACATTTTCCAGAAGAGAAACGCACAGGTGCACGAACAGGCTTTTAAATACTTCCCCCCAGGAAGCCTTTATCATCTGTTTCTGCGGCCCAGGAAACCGCCCTCAGCCAAGGCTGCAGGAGAGCAGAGGGGTGCAGGGCACACAGCCCGCGACGCACGGCCACGCAGGCGGGCGGGCGCGGAGCAGGACGGCAGATAAGACCACGAGGGCGGTTGCAGACGCACCACGGGAGCAAACAAGATCCTCAAATCAGCACTTGTCCTATTTCATAAGCGAAATGTAGATCAATAAATTACACTCATTTCTGCAGGTTTTACATGCTGACTCCGGCACCTTGTCAAGAGTGATACACGCAGGCTGAGAGGGGCAGCGGGTGGCAGGAGGGGCCCCAAGGCCTGGCGGGAAGTGGAGACTGAGCCGCAGCCCCACAGGCCCCAGCTCCTGCACCCCTCCCCATGGAGCCTCAGCGCCCAAGTTCCCAGGGGCGAGGAGCCAGAGGCTGTGATTTCGGGCTCCGGTCCCGTCTGTCAGGCGGACGCCGTGGTGAGGAGCTGGGCTTTGTCAAGTTCCCCGTGACGGTGCCCGGGGGACAGTGATAAAGCGCTTTCGAGGAGGGCAGGAAGCGCACAGACATCAGCAGCCCCCATTGCCTTCACACGCGGGGTGCAGCCGTCTGAGCAGACGTCACCTGGCTTGTCGATCCTCACCGCACTGGACAGGCAAGAGGCAGCCCCTCAGAGCGAGGGAACAGCCAGAGGGGCTGCAGGACCATGGAGCAAGCTGAGGGTGCGGCTGGGAAGCAGGTGAGGCCACAAGCCGGGCAAGGCGGGAGTGAACCCACGTCCATGCGGCTCCAGCCCCTGAGGACTCTACACCTGCTCCCCACCTGGCACCACAGCCCAGAAGCAGCCAGGGGGAGCAGGGGTCCTTGCTCCTGAACTTGCCACCCCCTCCCCTGTGCCTCAGTTTCTCCATCTGTTCATGGGGCCCGGCTCCCAGGAAGAGGCCTGTGCAGGTGACAGTGGCATCCAAGAGCTTCTCCCACAAACCCAGCTGCCCGCTGACAGACAGCCGCGCCCGCCGCTCCCGCCGCGTCCTGATGACCAGCTCGGGGACGGGCAGGGTGGGGCCCTGGAGGAATTAACCACAGCGCCCGCCGGGCACGCCAAGGCGAGTTAATGTGCGGTGCGGGTAATATATAGTGCTGTGCTAATATAAGATGATATAATGGGATGGGTTAACATTATTGAACACATGAGCCGATAAAAGTCACATCGCCATCACGCTGTGATTTATATCACAGCCAGACCAAGCCAGGCTGGCCGCCTGGGAGGGCAGAGAGGAGAGCCAGCTGGGCTCTGGAGGCTGCCGTGGAGGAGCCCTGGGCAGAGCCAGGAGAGGCAAAGGAGGGCGACCCCCACCAGGGTGCCACGTTGTGCTGTGCCCCCACCAGCCCTTCTTGCCCCGCCCCCACAGTGGCACCTGCTCCACCCCAGTGGCATTTGCCCTGCACAGTCCCATCCCATCTCGGGCAGCCCTGCTCTGCCAGTCCTGCCCCCTGCCTGACTCCGTGGAGAAGGCCCAGGCTCAATGCTGGGCCCTTTGCCTCTGCACTCACACCCAGGAATGGCGTCCGTCTGCCCACTTCACAGGCCTAGCAGCCCGGTTCTCGCCCAGTGCCCACTCCACAAGACACAGAGGATGCACCCTGACCAGGCTCCCACCCCGCTGCCTGCTCCCCTGTCCACCTACCGAGAGTCCCAGATGCAGCTCCAGACCGAGCTCCTGAGCCCAGGGCCCCCGAAGACTTTCCCAGCCGCCCTTCCCACTGCCTGGGCCACAGTGCTGGACACCTGCTCCAAGGTGCAGACTCGACTGACCAGCACACGCTGTGGGCTCTGCTCTGAAACTCAACCCAGAATCCAGCCAGGACTCACTGACTCTGCCCTGGTTGCCAGACAGCTCCTCCACCTCCCCAGTGGCCTCCCACGTCTACCTTGAAGCCGCCCCTCACTTCCAGCACACTCATCCCATCGCTCTTGCTGCTTTCTGCAGCAGTTCTGGACGTCCTCTTTCGTGAGTGTCAAAAACACAGTGAATGCTGCTGCGGAGCGCCATCCCATGGAAAAGCAGGCTCACAAAAGCATCACAGTGTCCTCACCCACACTGTTCACTGGACCTGGCTGTGTACAGCTCCTGCTTGTTCTCCAAAGTCAAAATGACCATGAAAGGTAAATGTTTTGAATCAGTTCAGGATGGTGCGGCAGCCACAACGGCACAGCTAAAGGCATGAAAGAGGACTCCACGACCGCCTCAGAAAGTGGCAAGGCTGGGTCTGGTGGCGCAGCCTGTAATCCCAGCAGTCAGGAGGCTGAGGCAGGAGGATCGTTGTGAGTTCGGGGCCAGCCTGGGCTACAAAGTGAGCTCAAGGCCAGCCTGAACTGCACAGCGAGACCCTGTCTCAAAAAGAAAAAAAGAAAAGAAAGTGGCAAGGATGATGGGTAAGTGTCTGAAGCAAGGGGAGGGATTCTGAGGTGCATTCATGGTGATATCTGTTTACTGTAATAAACTGTTTTTGACTTAAACATTCACCGTATTTTTCACTCACACCTTGTATCGTACCTCTGCGTGTTCAACACCCTGGTAAGCACCAGGATGCCACGGCAAGCAGCAGCAGACAGATTCCTGCCCTGGCACAGCCAAGCCCCGAGGAGACACAGCCCAGCTCTGCATGCACACCGACGCCATACGACCACAACCCCAGGAGTGCCGGGGCTGGGACAGCTGGAACGAGAGCGTGGGTCTGCCAGAGTGACCAAGACAGGGACACGAATCTGACAGCTGAACAGCGTAGGCAGTCACCAGGTGAGGAGGGAAGGAAGAGGATTCCAGGCAGAAGAGGGCAGCAGGTGCACAGGTTCTGGGCCAGGAGCCCATAGCAGATTCAAGCACTGAAGGAAAAAACACAGGAGCTGGCGACCACAGCCTGAGAAGAGAGGTGCTGCGGTCCCATGAGAGTTGGCCGTGGCTGGACGAGGAGTGGCTACTGAGATAGAGGAATGCGACCGCCCCCCATACACACGGCCTCCAGCTCGCAAGCGTCCTCCTGTGACCACACTGAGCCCAGCAGAAACCGGGGAGCCAGGAGCACAGCCAGCAGGTTCTCCAGGGCCAGCTGCCTGCTCCCTCCTGCCCCTGCATGACCACCAGGCCCCTGAGGGGTCCCCAGCCACCCAGTGCCACAGAGAAAGGACCTGAGTCCTCCTCTGCCCCCACTTGCCACGTGACACCCAGCCCCAGCTCCTCACCTGACAGTCGCGACGACAGCTCTAACTGCGGCTCCAGTTTGCTGAGCACCTACTGTGTGCTGGGAGTTAGCACTGCCTGGAGTTAACTTGGCCGGTCCCCACCGACCTCCACAGGCAGCGGTACAAGCACCTGGCCACCTCCAGGGGCGGGAACATGCCAGACACACGCAGGTGGCATCCTCGTCACACTCCTCCACCAAGAGGAAGCGTTGGCCTGAACACCTCCAACACCCTCGGGGCCTGTGTGGCAGCCTCCTTGGATGCTCAGCCCCCAAAACATCCCCCAGCACCTTTTGCTGGGGGGCAGATACAATGTGGGGTGCAGGAGCAGTGATCGGAAAATGCAGTGAGAACTTACTTTTTTAAAGAAAACTTTATTACGGTACAGGATACTTTGCCACCAATTCCCCCAAATGTCTCCTCACACTTGCCACTTTCTGACGCGGGTCCACAAGTCCTCTTTCGTGCCTGTCTAGTTGTGATGTCCTGGATGCCTCCAGGTCCTGAACCAATTCAGGTTCACCTTCCATGGTCGTTTTTCTTTTGTAGAGGAGCCAGAAATCTCACAGTGCCAGATCCGGGGAACAAAGTGGATGAGGATGCACCTATTTTTACGAGCCTGCCTTTCCACTAGATGACATTCAGCAGCACCATTCACTGTACTGGTGGCCATGCCTTGTACAGACACTCACGAAAGAGGTCTTCCAGGACTGCTTCAGAAAGTGGCAAGCGTAGCTGGGCATGGTGGAGCACTCCTGTAATCCCAGCACTCGGGAGGCTGAGGCAGGAGGATCAGTGTGTAAGTTCAAGGCCAGCCTGGGCTACCTAGTGAGTTCAACGCCAGCTACAGAGATCCTGTCTCAAAAAAAAACAAACAAAAAAAGTAGCAAGTAAGTGGGGTAAGTGTGCTTGAAGCAACCGGCAGTATTTTGAGGGGAATGCACAACAACATGTCTCTTACTATAATAAATTTTTGTAAAATTTAAATACGTGCTGTACTTTTCGGTCAGCCCTTGTACACCTGCCCAGGACCAACTTCTCTCCACTGTAGGACCTCCAGGTGTCCCACTCAGCTTGGTGGCCACATCCCACATGCCCACAGTGTGTCAGGCACTGGGACATGGTAGGGAACAGGACGGTCCCTGGCAGGCTGAGAACGTCCCCACAGTATGCTCCCCGCGGGTGGTACCTACACTCCTCCACCCCTCCCCACCTTGACCTCCTTCCGGTGCACATCCGGAAGTCACACCAGGCCGCCTTCCCCGCGGACTGCACAGTGACAGAGCTGCCCACCACCTTCTCACTTTATTAATCCCGACAGCTCAAGGCAGGTGCCGCTGTCCACACCGCAGAGGCAGGGTCCTGCTGACTGCAGGAGGCACGCTCTGCTCGGGCACTAGGATTTACACCAAAGCCACTGGCCTCGCTCCACGCCCACGGCCAGGGCCAGGGCCACCAGCACATCTGTCCAGACAATGAGGCGGCCGGGAGGAGGTGGCACAGACTCTTGTCAGGGGGCACCCCCAAGCACTGGGCCCTCCTCCCAGTCCCGCCCTCGGCCCCTGAATCTCTCGCAAAGCCAGAGACGAAGAGCCTGCTCCAGCAAACCCAGCCCACCGGGTCCCTGCGGGGCAGCGTCCAAGGCCAGAGGTGGGGAGGGGCCTGCCGGGCAGCAGACAGCGGGCATTCAGGACCCAAGCGCTGCCCTATGCCCTGCACCCACTCCCAACGCCCACTGCCAAGCCCGGGAGCCCCGACTCTGGGGTCCACCCAGCCAGCCCCCCTGGAAGGGGAGAGCTTAGACAGGGGGGGACCCCTCCCTCCACGGTGTCCAGCGTGGGCCTCTTGCTGGCCACACGCACACAGCCCTCTCCAGTTCCGGGGGCTGCCGGCTCTGGGGACTGAGCGGCGACCGCCCTGCCACTTTCCTGGGCTCTGCTCCCACTTCGCTCGCCTCCCTAATCGAACTCCCCCA